AGTCTTTTCCAAATGCCTTCCCATTTTGTCCCAAAACATCTTTCTAAGAGTTACCTCATCACCAAGAATTTCCTCCTCACCTCAGTTCTAAAAGGTCATCCCTTCACTCTTGAGGCTGTGCCTTCGGGTCCTAGTCTCTCCTACTTGCGGAAACATCTTCTCCATGTCCACTCTATCCAGGCCTCTCAGTATTCAGCAAGTTTCAGTGAGAGCCCCCCGCTCAACCTTCCAAACTCCATCGAATACAGATCCAGCATCCTCAAATGATCCTCATGTGACAAGCCCTTTGTCTCTTGGGTTTATTCTCGTAAACCTCCTCCAAGCCCAGCACATCCATCCTTAGATATGGAACCCAAAACTGCTCACAATATTCCAAATGCGGTCTGACCAAAGCCTATTCTAGCCCTCCTGAAATGAATGCTAACACAGCATCTGTGTTCCTAACTGTCAGCTGAACCTCCATGTTAACCTTATGAGAATCTCGAACTAGAAAGTCCAAGTTCCTTTGTGCTTCAGATTTTCAAAGTCTTTCGCCATTTAGAAAATATTCTACATCTAAATTCTTCCTGCTAAAGTGCATAACCTCACAATTTCCCATATTGTATTCCATCTGCCTTTCTTTGCTTACTCTCCTAGCCTATCCTTCCATAGTCTCCTACTTTCCTTAACATTAACTGTCCCTCCATTGATCTTTGTGTCATCTGTAAACATAACAATAGCCTCCGTTCCTTTGTCCGGATTGTTGATGTACAACATGAATAGTTGTGGTCCCCACACCGACCCCTACCGAACTCCACTAGTTAGTTGCCGCCATCCTGTAAAAGACCACTTTAACCCCACTCTCTGCCTTCTGCCAGTCAGGTAATCCTTTATTCATGCCAATACCTTGTCCTTAACACCAAGGGCTGATATCTTATTTAGTAGCCTCCTGTGTAGAATCTTATCAAAGACCTTCTCATAATCCAAATAGATCACGTCCACTGGCTCTCCTTCGTCTAACTTGCTTGTTACCTTTTTAACGTATTCTAACAGATTTGTCAGGCACGACCTCCCCTGACGAAGCAATGCTGATCCAGCTCTATTTTACCATGCACTTGCAAATACTCCACTATCCCATCCTTAATAATATTTTAGAATCCATTATTAATGGGCGAGGTCAGGCTAATGGCCTATGATTTCCATCTTCTGTCTCCCTCCCTTCTTGAACAGGGGCATTATATTAGCCATTTTCTAGTCCGTTGGGACCTCCCCGACTCCAGGTGATTCCTGAAAGATCACCATCAATGCCTCCATAATCTCTTCAGCTATCTCCTTCAGACCATCTGGTCCAGGAATTTTAGCATCTTCAGACCTTTCAGCTACCCCTACACCTCCTCCTTTGTGATGGCCACTAAGTCAACCTCTGTCCCTTGACTCTTGAAGTTCTGGTATGCTACTGGTGTCTTCCGCCATGAAGATGGATGCGAAGTACCTATCATTTCCACCATTTCTTTGTTCCCCATATTACTTCTCCAGTCTCAATTTTAAGTGGTCCTATGGCCAGTTTTGCCACTCTCTTACCTTTTAGGATCGAGAGAACCTTGTGACCTCCTTTAAAATCCCTCGATTGCATTTTTTTTAAACTTATCCTCTGCTGGTTTTTAAAGGCTTCCCACTAATCTACACCACATTGTCTGCTTTTTATTTTGCTTTTACACTGTCACTGACATCTCTTGTAAGCCACAGTTGCCTCATTCTCCCTTGAATAAGTTTCCTCCTCCTTGGGATAAGTTTCTCCTGTGCCTCCCAAATTATTGCTCAATCGTCTTACTTTTTCCAGTAAACTAAAATGTGATTTTTGTAAACTGTCGGGTGTCTCAATATTCATAAAAATCCTGCAGTAAAATATTTTCAAAGTTTATTACTGAAATTTTAACTTCCCATGTGCATGTCCCAATTTTTATTTTGCTGTCTGTAAAATGCTCAAACAAAAAGATTCAATGATTTTCGCTTGGTTTGTTGTCCGACAATACTTCAGCATGTTTTGTTGCTTATCCTACTTGATAACATTACAACTGAAGGATCTCTGGTGATCCTGTGAATTTAGCACCAGATTTGAACTGTCACCAGGAAAGAGAAAATTCATGCCACAGAGATACCTAGATTCTTGAGAGATTTTCTTCATGACCATGATGCGTGGATCAAAGATTGATGGGGATGAATCAGATTTAAATTCATAGGGATATCGGCACCAGTACTAGAAAGAAGGGCACTTTTCTAATTGGACAAGTTCTGCCTGTATCATGCTGGGACTAGAGTCCTGGCGAATTTTGTAACTAGGGCTGTGGATAAGCCTTTAAATTAAAATAAAAATGGAGGGACGGGGGGCGGGGGGGAAGGTGGGTTGGATTCATTTGCAAAGAAAATTATGGAAAAAGGTTGGGGGGGCGCTCGACAGACATTATTAAAGTTTCTAGAGCAAGTAATAGGACAGAGTATAGAAAGGATCAGGGATCTAACTTCAGACACAACAGATAAGGGGACAACTATGAGAAGGGGGGGCAGTCAACGCACGACCGAAGATTTTGTACTTAAATGCACACAATATATTGAAATAAGCTTGAAGCATAGATTAAAATTGGTGGGAACGATGTTGTGGGTTTCTGGCTGTAGGGGAACCAGGGCTCAGGACTAAATACCCAAGGAAACGCATCCTATTGAAGAGGACAGGCAAATGAGTAGAGGGGTAGGGTAGGTTCGTAAAAAATTAAAATGGTAGAAAGAAATTATATTGAGTTGGATGGCATAGAATCTGTGTGGGTAGAGCTGAGGAACCTCAAAAGGACAAAACTACCCCGATGGGAGTTATGTATAGGCCCCCTAGCAGTACTCAGGATATGGGGCAGAAAATATTTCAGGAGATAGAAAAGGCATGTAAGAAAGTCACTATTACAATAATTATGGGAGACTTCAGCATACAGATGGTTTGGTCAAATCAGGTTGGCAATGGATGCCAAGAAAAGGAATTTGTGGAATGTCTATAAGAGATGGTTTCTTGGGCTAGCTTATGGCACAGCCCACGAGGGAACAGGCAATTGTGGATTTGGTGATGTGTAATGAGACAGATTTACTTAGGGAGCTGAAGAAGAAGGAGCCCCGAGGTGCCATTGACCTTAATATGTTAGAATTTACCCTACAGTTTGAGAGGGAGAAGATGGAATCAGATGTAACATTATTACAATTGAGTAAAGGTAACTACTAGAGTTGATTGGTAGGGGAACCTAGCAGGGAAGCCTGTGCAGCATCAATGGCAGGTCCTAAATTGACAGGATCACCAGAGATCCTTCAATTATGATGTTATCGAGTAGGATAAGCAACAAAACATGCTGAAGTATTGGAAGACAACAAACCAAGTTAAGATAATTGAATCTTTTTGTCTGATGAACATTTTATAGACAGCAAAATAAAAATTGGGACATACACGTGGGAAGTTAAAATTTCATTAATAAATTTTGAAAATATTTTGCCAAAAGGATTTTTATGAAAATGGAGAAACATAGCAGTTTACAAAGTTAAATCACATTAGTTTACTGGAAAAAGTAAGGCTATTGAGCAATAATTACAAACTTAATACTCATTTAAAAACCAAGTTATACTTTATTGAAACATATAGCTTTGAAGATTTTTACAAATGACACATAGAGAAAACAAGAAAGTTTTTGTAAATTCATTGCAATTAATTAGAATCAGAGAAAATTAAACAGTGCACACTTTCAAAAACAGAAGAAAACTGACAGTATCTTCTATATTTCTCTGTTTAACTGCGCACACGTGAACGGCAGAAGTTGCTGTCAATTTCAGATGACAAATGACGAGAATCAATGACAGTTCTGCCATCGTTACAATTGCTTAACTCCTGGTTATTTTATGCTCTAAATCTATTTAGACTGATATTTGGTTGTTGCCCATTTACTTTCTCCACAGAAAAATCAAAAGCTGTTTTGGTATGTAGTTTCAAACTTAACACGTACAGAGTTAATACTAAAATATATTATCCTAATCACTGTAGAAAATGTCATAATGCTCGAATCATCAGATCTCTTGAAAAGGTACGCGATAGAAAGCAAATAGCAAATTAGATTAAAAGGAGGAAATCTTACAAAGCATTAATTTTAAGTAAGAAGGCTTTGATACTTGACGAGAACACAGAAGTTACAATATTATTATTTTGATCATCTACTAATTAGGTCTCCCATTTTTTAAGTGGGCGAAACGAAATTTGTTCTAGTAGCAAATTAACACTAAACACCAAAAATATTATCAATAAGACAAAAGTTATCCATAAATATCAGAAAGCACTCGAGCTAAGTTTGTCATCGAGACTAAGCTTGTACCGGACTCAAGTTGGCCACACACCAGCCAGACGTAGGCCATGATTTAATACAGAAATAAAATAATTTCATACTGTCGCTATCCTGAAAGGAAAGAAATTGATAGGGAAGTTTAAAAGTAAATATGTGGGAGTTTACGGCCGTTATGCATTTATTTTTGTAAAGACCCTGTTCCTGTGCAAGTGGGCCAGTTTCACCGATGACAAATATAACACCTACCAGAACTGGGCCTCTCTCCAGCCTCTGTAGCCAAAGAAGCAGCTGGCCTTCGGGAATGCAAGAATGTTGACAGTACAGTTCCAGATCCGGGGTGTGTAAAGACGATCACAGCACAACCCTTCTTTGCCTTGAGAGTTTGAGTGCGTATAGGGAAGAAAAGTGTTTCTCCATGGCTCAGCGTATGACCCCTGACCTCTACAACCACACACCCCTCCTCCTCCTCGAGACGGCGGGCGGTGAGGCGCGAGGACGCCGGCCTGAGCCGTCACCAATTGATTGATACAGGAAGGAACCAACCGTCCTGTAGGAGTGTCCCTTTCCACCAATCCGAAGAGAGCTGGTGGGCGGACCCAGTTGCCCCGTTCACCAATCGGAGCAGACGAGTGGGCGGGCGTTCCAACGGCGCAATCCGTTAGATTCAAAGTTTGGTGAACGGCTGTCCGCCAGAGCCGCCTCGTTGTCAGAATGTCCAACGATAAAAGTCCGTTGTCTTTTCTATGGTAGGACCGATCGCCCTCCACAACAATGGATATTAGCGAGCAGGACCCCAGTGCCCGATGTCTTGTTGCGGATCGAATGAAAGTACAGGCTGGCTCCTGCGGTCCGGATGCTGTTGGAGAAGATGTTGATGCTGGTTTGCGGCGGGACTTCGAGCTTCTGAGAGCGGCAGGCAAGGAATCGCCGTTACCGAGACCGACAGGAGTCAGGCAAACCATGAAACATTTATCGAACGAGTTCCAAGGCTTGTACGAGGAAAAACTGAAACAGCTAGGGAATAAAGATGAGAGTAAAGGTATCCTAAAGGTCAGTAGTTTCTAGAAAACCGAAAAAAATTTTCAGTTGTCAAAGGACCACTGTATATATTTGTTAATCGCAAACCCTGGAACAGATGCACATTTGGAAGGGAAATCGTGCAATTGGTTAAATATTTTCCATAGGTTATTCCTACGATATCTTTCTCCCATAGCAGATTGCAACAAATGCTATCTATCTGCCCCCTTAAGCTTTTCATACCTTGTCTATGCCATTGAATATTGGGGAAATTGAAATCCCCTATTAACATTATTATTTTTACGCTTCTTTGAAATTCGCCTATACACCTGCACTTCTGTCTCTTCCTGATTGTTTGGAGTCTGTAGTATACTCGCACCTATATACTTGCCCCCTTTTTGGTTTTTGTGTTCCACCTATATTGAGGATCCATCCACGATATCATCCCTCTTTACTGCAGTAGTTGGCTTCTTGATCAATATTGTCATATCACTTCTTTAAACCGCTCCTTGTCTCACCTGGAGGCTATACCTTGCAAAATTGAGCTGCCAGTCCTGCCCCTGCTGCAACCCAATCTCCATGGTAGCAATGACATCATATTTTCAGTTGGCAATCAGCATCTTCAACTCATCTAAAAACCAAAAAAAACAGTGGATGGTGGAAATCAGAAACAAAAAAATGTTGCTGACAAAGCTCACCAGGTCTGGCAGCATCTGTGGAGAGAAATCAGAGTTAATGTTTCAGGTCCAGTGACCCTTCCTCAGAACTAAGTTCTTCTGAACAAAAACAAAAATAGCTGGAAAAGCTCAGCAGGCCTGGCAGCATCTGTGAAGAGAAAATCAGAGTTAACGTTTCAGGTCTGGTGAACCACAGAACTGAATTCTTCTGAGCTCTTCAACTCATCTGCCTTACTCGCAAGGCCCCTTACAATAAAATAAATGCCGTCCAGCCTGCTCTGCTCTCTTGTGCCTTAACTTGACGATATATGTTCTACTTTCTAGGCTGACTTGATTTTTTTCTCTTATATTTGTCAGTGCATCACCCCCTATTGCTCCTTCACTCTGAATCCCGTTCCCCTGTAAAATTTGGTATAAATGCTCAAACAGCAGTAGCAGACCCCAATCCTCTTCCCCACAAGGATATTCCCATTTCTGCTGAAGTGCAACCCATCAGACTTGTACAGATTCTACCTTCACCAGAAATGGGACCCAGTGATCCAGGAATCTAGACCCCTCTCTCCTGCACCAACTCTTCAACCTCACGTTCATCTAGTCAAACTGTCTATTCCTATACTCACACTGGCAAGTTCCTTGCCTTACCTTAAGGTCAAGTACTCTTAACCAACTTTAAAGCAAGTGGAAAAAATATTGAAGCTGTTAACATAAGCTATAGATTAATAGCAAGTAGAAATTCTTTGCCCTTACTCACAAATTGATTCCCTCTCCCCTTCCTGTAAATTCTTTCCTTTTTTCGTTGTGCTGGTTACTGTGTTTGAAACACAATTCCTAATAGCGGTTGCTCAACCACCAGCTAACTCATGATTTTCCTGTGATTTCAATCACTCCTTTTCAAACTCAGCCGACCAGCTCAAGACAAGACTCCTGTGCAGGTCCAACTTCTCTTGCACCCCACCCACCCCCCCAAAAAAAGTAAGTGGCTTAAAACAGTATATTTAAGTAAAATCCTAAATTGCAGGTAATCATTCCTGGATCTTACAAAATAACAACTCTTCAAATTTTAGGATCTTACCTCTCCTTTCATCAAACTCCGTGTTACCACATCTTGATTACTTCTCACAGGATCTTCACTTCGCCTGCTGTTCTCGTGGATCCTGATTGCCTGTCACAGAGTCGTTACCTTGCCCACTGTTCTTGATAATGCTGACTGCCTGTCACAGAATTCTTTGCTTAGTGGTACTGACTGTTTCTGGATGCTTACCTTTTTGCCTGTCCTGCTCCTCCAACTGTAAGCGATAGGTGTAAAGTTGGTGCAAAATTAAAGAGGCAGAAAGGGAAGATAAAAGAGCAAGGAACAAACAACAACAATACGAGAAAAAAAGTTAGCTTTTATTCAATTGGTGAGTCTGTGGTAGATGAGGAGTTGCATCCTCCTTGATGTATTTTCTTACTGTCACATCTTTGGCGTTCGTCGCCTGTCTTGTTTCAAAGCCAGTTATGCCTTGATGAAGCAATGCTTGCCATCGAGAGTGATCCTGTGTACAGTCTTCCCAGCTATTGAGGTCAAAGTCAGCCTTCAAGGAGACTTTTATGGTATCTTTGAAATGCTTCTGTTGACTGTCCTATGATCTTTGACTCATCAAGAGTTGGGAGTAGAGAGAGTGCCTTGGAAGGCAAGTATTCAGCATTCTACTGAAGTGGCTTATTCTGTTACTGCATAAGAATGATTGCCTCCATCCTCAAGTGTCTGCTTCTTGCAGAAAGCATCATGCAACATCACAGCTGCAGGTCACAGTTGGAGGCTATTATTCACTTCTGCTGTCTTCGGAACTATATGTCCCAGTCACAGAGTGTAGACTTTGATATTCCACACAGGATTCAGTGCATGAGAAGCTGCTTAGACAAGTCCTCATTAACCATAACCTGCTGATTGACGCAACATTCGGAGTCTGGAAAACAGTTGCTCCCTACGGTCCTATACAGTGTGAAACCTGAGTGATGCTGACCAAAACCTGAGAGAACTTAAGATATACTGTCAATGCTGTCTGAGAGAGATCATTCCTGTCAGCTTGGTAGCAAGAACAGACACACCTCAGGGTGCTACTTATTCAAATCTTTGGAGTTGGCAGGGCAGGTTGACAGTGAAGTAAGAACTGTACAGCGTAGGAACAGGCCCTTTGGTCTATCAAACCTGCACTGACATATGATGCTTTTGTAAATAAAAATTATTTTGCCTCTGCACAGTCCATATCCTTCTATTCGCTATCTATTCATGTATCTATCAAGATGCTTCTTAAACATTGCTATTGTATCTGCCTCCACCATCTCTTCTGGCAGTGCATTCCAGGCACTTAGCATCCTCTGTTAAAAAAACTTGCCTGACAAATCTCCTTTAAACTTTCCCCCTTTTACCTTAAACCTATGTCCCTAGTAATTGACATTTCTATCCTGGGAAAAAATCTCCATCTATCCATTTTGTCCAAGCCTCTCATAATTTTGTAAACTTCTTTCAGGTCACCCCTCAGCCTCTGATGTTCAAGTGATAACAAATTGAGTTTGTCCAGTCTCTTTTCATAGCTAATACCCTCCAAATATCAGGCAACATCCTGGTAAGCCTTTCCTGGATCTTTTCAAAAGGCTCCACATCCTTCTGGTAGTGTGATGACCAGAACTGGACACAGTATTCCAAATGTGGCCGAATTAAAATTTTATACAGCTGCAACATGACTTGCCAATTTTTATATTCTGTGCCCCAGTCGATTGATGCAAGCATTGACCACCTTATCCACTTGTGTAGCCACGAGGAACTGTGGATCTGCATGCCTAGATCCTTCTGTATGTTAATATTTGTAATGGTTCTTCCATTTGTACTCTTCCCTCTTGCATTAGACCTTCTAAAATGCATCATCTCCAGTGTATCTGAATCATTCTGTATCCTCTGGCAGTCCTCAACTACTTTTGGCAGCTCCCCCAATCTTTGTGTCATCCGCAAACTTACTAATCAAGCCACCTACATTCTCCTCTAAATCGTTAATACATATTACAAACAAATGAGGTCACAGCTGTGATCCTAGAAGAACACCTCTGGTCACAGATTTCCAAACAGAAAAATACCTTTCCACTATTATTCTTCGTCTTCTATAACCAAAGCAGTTCTGTATTCAGCTTACAAGCTCACCACAAATCCCATGTGACTTCACCTTACATATCAGTCTGCCGTGAGGAACCTTGTCATAGGCCTTGCTAAAGTCCATGTTGACAATAACCACCGCCCTGCCCTCGTCAATCATTTTTGTAACTTCCTCAAAAAACTTGATCAAGTTTGTGAGACACAACCTTTCCACACAAAGCCGTGCTGCCTTTAGCTAATTAAGTCCACAATTTCCTAAATGTGAGTAGATCCCATCTCTTAAAGATCTTCTCCAATAATTTTCCTGCCACTGACATAAGGCTCACTAGCCTGTAATTTCCCGGATCACCCCTGTTGCCCTTCTTAATCAATGCTGGCGACCAATGTGGGATTGGCAAAAGATGCAATGGTGAAATGAGAAAAAAATACTTTATGCAGAGACTGGTTAGAATCTGAAATGCACTATCCAAGAGGCAGGGCTGAACGAAGCTTTCAAAAAAGTATTAAATGATGAACCCAGCAAATGCTGTCTTGTTTTTGGAAAAGGTCGGTGAGTGGCACTGTGTGAGTAACCCTTGCAGTGAACCTGCACAAAAATAGCAGAATGAGTGGCCTTCATTTGTACTGTAACTATAGTTATTGAAACAAGGTCAGCCAGGTGGATCTCATAGAATATGAGTTCCCTGAATGGGGCTGTTAATCTGGCCCAATCAGGGAGTCCTGGCTGACAGATATAAACAGAAGTGTCAGGGGTTCTGTTCAGTCTGAGAGCTGGCTCTGAGGGAGCTGGATTAGTGTCATGTACTATTCACGTGTAAATAAAGGGTTACTTTGTGATGAGATTCTGGCCTTTGTGGAGTTATTTCAGTAACCATTTTATAATTCTACACAATGAAGTTCCTTTATGGAGATTTGGCTAAACAGGGAGCAATACTCATTTCTTCTTCAGTGATCCCTTGGAATTGAAGATGACTTTTTCTGCACAGGTCCATTGCATTCTAGAATGGCTAATAGATCTAATCTGCTGACTCTACCATATAGGAAACTTGGTATTTGAAGGATTGAGTAGATGAATTGCTTGGGGGCTGCCTGTACTTGGCCTAAGTGTTCTTTCATTGAAGATTTTTGAGGTGCTTAGAACTGTGCTAATGAGCTTTCTCTTTCCATTTTTTGGTGATTGTGGGCTAGTGATTCTCATAAATCTGCTCAAGAACATTACTAAAAGC